ATGCCGTTGCCTTGATTAGGTGGATTTTATATACTTTCTACAAACATAAAAATGTTTTTAAAGTTTATATTTAGTTAGTACATTTCATTTAATTTCGTTGAAAACATGTGATTTACGTTAAATATTATCAGTTAAGTATATCTTGACTTGTATTTCCGGCGATTCATTTTCGACCTGTATAAGCATTTTTATTTTTTTCTCCTTTATTCAATTATCAAATTCTTTCAAAAGTTATATTTAGCTTTTTTTCGTAACTTTCAATAATGAGAGGTAGTTGATTATTTAAAATAAACCATATTAAAGGTAATTTTGAGGAAGACCCACATGAACATTGGGCATTTAAGCCCTGTAAAGTGACATCAACGGGGACAAGACCTAAATGATATTACAGACCACTTATTTATACATTGATACATCGAGTTTAATCAAAATCGTTAGAGCCGTTTTGAGAACACTGTAAAAATGCGTTTCAGCGTTGGTATAAAGTGGCACTTCGGGTTAGCCGATTTTAAGGGAAAAGTTGCCAGGACATCTAAGGCATATACCTGTCTTAAATACGTTATATCAGCTTCGTACGACTTTTCGGTTTCGAGCTAGAGTGTTCACATACACACAGACCATTTTTCGGGACTTAGTTATTTAGACTCAGGGGACCTCGAAACGTGTATTTCCGTTGAAAACTCAGATTTAAAAATTTTCACGATCGCAATACTTACACTTACTATGTATTATATATATAGGTAAGTGAAAGTAAGAATATAAAATAATAGATATCAATATCAAGCTGTAACTTTCTCAATAATATCATTTTATAAATCATTGCAAGGTAGATGGAGTATTGTTCTGTCACTTTTCCCATTAATTAAAATAATTCACCATGATCTCATCTTCGGTGGGTAGCGTATAAGTATTAATAAAAATAGCTATATATTGTTTAACCATGTAATATTTCTTAGATTTTATGATTTACCTCTAAGCTTTCTTACTCAATAATCAATGCAGAAAGAAACCTAAATCATTTATTAAATGTTAGTAGGACCAAATTAAAACGAAAGAGACTTCTGAATCGTCATTACAGATAAATTTTATATATTTAAGTTTAAGAGATAATTTTACACTTGGAAAATGTTCTGGTTATATTATTTAGACGCTATCTTATGGTGACCAGAGGTTCACAGGCAATAACTCTGATAGGAGTCTATTCTTGTTTTTTTTCATAGAGCTCGGTCGATATCCTCGTTCACTAATTCTGTATCTTCCCACCTACCTCTCGATTGCCTCCTAGCATATTTGGTATTTTTTACATGTTTTATTATTCGTTCATTAGCATTTAAGTAGCTTTATTCGCTCCTGAACTCGAAGTAGGCCACTGAAATGAGTAACTAATATGGTGAGTTTGTGAACTTACAAACATGTTACCAATAAAGTAAAAAACGTATAGCTGGGGTACAGGTACTTGTGAAAGTGACTGTTCTTTGAAGTTGAGATATTTTTATCTGACAACAGAGGTGCCCAGAAGGGAGTTTCATGGCACAAGTTTTTGATGTAGGCATATTTTGATGGATTTTTTAATTTTTTAGGGCGGCCAATTTCGACGGGTTATGAATTTTAGGACTAAGGGACAAGAGGAAAACATTGAACACACCGCAGCAAGTGTAATTGTATACGATCTACGATTTTCCGAATTCTACCTTAGCTTGCTCTTTATTTAAGAAAAGGTGAGCAATTAAATATCTTTGAAGGAGGGAAGGGGGTAAGTTCTTGCGCTATCAACCTTGGGGAGATGGGCATCCCTGTCTCACGGTGTAGTAAACTCTAAATTCCAATCCGCTTTTTTATCCTCTAAGTTATGGAAAAGGATAGTTCATTCCTACAAATTATGAAAATCATCTACAAGAAATAAATGGTGGAGACACTTCATCGTTATGTTATTCTTTTGCCCAAAAACAGTTGGATCATTGATACTATTCCGGAAAGTACTCAGCAAAGGTACAATATTTAAAATTTCTTAAATATTAGCTTTTTAAGAAAATAAGATGATTATTGATGCTAATTACTTATCGAAATCTGATTTATTTTTCAAGACAAACAAATTAAATAAAAACTCATTTCACAGCCTTAAATCTCAATAAAATTTATCTTTTAATATAATTGATTTACATTTTATTTTCACATAAATTTAAGAGTACGTTCGTTGAATCTATATCGGAAACTGCTGTTTGGACAAAACCATGTTCGTTATCATAAGCTGATGTAGCTTCGCCTTAAAGTGTTGGTTTAGGCAAGCTCAGCTTTCTACTATAGTTCTTGGAAGGGTAATGATGTATGCTGACTCCTATCTGGATTAGGGTGCAAAGAAAATAGAATATTTTAACTTAATTTAGTCCATTAACCTAAAATACTTCTATTTTTACTCAGCTAATCTCTGTAATATATTTTTAACTTTGTATTTTATTTATGCTCCGTTTGTTGACAAGTGCTAAAATAAATTTGTATTTGCTTATTTTCTTCTTATTAACTGTGAATTTCGAAAAATGACATTTAATAGGACTTTAAGAATCCCTTAAACACCGTTTCATATGGGTAGTTTGTTTCTTTCTTTTTCTTGCGAAGTAATTGTCATTAGATATATGAAAAAAAAAATCTTTTGGGCTGAAGCCTCCTCCAAAATTAAATCCTGGAGCCACTAATGTTTCCTATTGAATTTGTCAGATAACATTTACTTTGGAAAAACACATTATTTCTGTTGTTGCTTATTGCATTTAGTAGACAATGTATTGTACCACTAGTGGATTCAGGAATTAATTTTAGTGGGGGAGGGCTTTAGCCTGAAAACTTTTTTTTTCTATATGTATATATAACGATAATTATGAAAGAAAAAGAAAGAAACTAACTACCAATTAGAAATGGTGTTTTAAGTGTTTCTTGAAGTCCTATTAAATGTAATTAACTAACTATAATACTTTATAGAAATAATGTTTTTTTGTAAGACATGGATATATTTTACCATTTTGGGAGGGGTTCAGCCCGAAAGCCCTCTCCCCTCCCCGTAGATCCGCCTGTGTGTTATACTAATTTTACTTCACTAATTTTGCATATCCATCAAAAATTACAACTGTTATTTGGTATTGTATCAACATTTAAATTGATTAAACTCCATATATGTCAGAGATGTTAATGCTAGACAGATTTAATAGGTACCTTTGGAATATTAGCTTTAAAATAGCATACAGAGACGAGTTTTCCGCTTTTCTTGTCCTTTTTTTTGTCATAAAATAAGGAAATAAGAATCGTTGCTATCTCTTACGTAAAACGTGACTCTTGCTCTTTTATTGACTTTATGATGCAGATTTCTTTTTGAAGTAGTTGAAACGTGTCAATCTGAATCATTTATTCTTTCCTAAGCTTCATGGCATTAATGTTGCCAAGGAAATTGACTTCATTATTTTCTTTTTAGTCATTGTTAAAGGAACTTGGCAATAGTAATTTTCTTTTATTAATAACAATAGATATCTTCAGAGCCAATCCCAGAAATAAGGAAACTATGCTGTCTGGAATCAGTAGAGTTTAGTATGTGATGGAAGGGCCGAATATACCACTAGGGCACACAAAAGCTATTTTTCTTTTAATAATAAAGAAATATTTAAGAGTTAAGAAAAACTCTGCCCCCACCGCAGGATATGAAGAGCAAGAGGGAGCACGGAAAACTCTTGGGCTGAATCTAGAAGCATCCTAACTTTAAATCCTACGCTAGACATTGATATTTCTTGAGAAGATGTACATTTGATTTTTTTCTCGATTGTGTAAAAATATTCCAGCATAAATATTACATTAGCTAACAGCAGTAGTTTTTTTCAATGAATTTATCTTCTGTGATGATTTGATTATACCACATCCCATGTGATGAATTTCTCTAGGTTTTTGGTTCACTTTTTTTGTGGAAACATTGATTTTTTATTAATAAACAGTTTTCAAGGAACAAAACGATATGCAATCTAAAAGGATGTTGGGAAACAGGGTGCACTGTATGGGGGTCTGGCCCACAAACTAAAGATTTCATCGCAGGTGATTCCAACAATTATTAACATTAACTTTCACGTTCCTATTTAATTTTAATATTCTTCCCTTGTATAAAAAATTATGCATTACAAATTTATTTCTATCCAATTTAGACCAAAATCTATAATTTTTAGCTATGCATTTCAAACTGTTCTCAACTTTGAAAGCCATTTATTCAAAACCGGTCAGTACTAGCCAAATAATTAATAGAACACATTTCATGAGGATTTTTTTGTATTCTTATTCATTATTTCCGTTCGATCAATGAATTCAAAGTTAAATGAAGAAAACTGACCCAAAATGCCAAATGTGTGGGTGGGAGGAGTAATTTTTCACCAATTTGGGGATGTTTCATCCATTAGGTAGGTGGGAACTCTTGATTTTTATTCCTGACCATATAAAGAAAATCTCCTGTGAAGGACAAAACTTTATAAATTATTTCTCCCAATACCCAAAGGTCGTGGGATTACATAGATGGAATCAGGGAGTGCCATCAAGATGGAAATAATGGGCTTTTGCACTGTTTTACCTGGTTATTCTGATCAATATTATTTGATTATAATAAAATACTTTGAGATAGAAATTGAATCCATTTAAAAAATTTAATAATAGGTTCTCCAAAATCATATTTATTTTTATCCTTTTTATCAGTCGAAAATAAAGTATTCCACATAACACTTTGTTATAGAAAAGTGCTATAATTTTTGTTAATAATCTCTTGTTACTGATTTTCCAAGAGATTCTAATATTGGACTACACTTTGAAGTACAGTGAAAACTACCTCCTTTTATGATATTAGAAAAATATTCAGTGGTTACCACTAAAGTTATTAATGCTATTCAAAGTTGTTATTTTTTTTTGTTTTGTTTTCATTTGTTTCATATTGTGCTGGCTATATTGTAATATTTTGTGTTATTGTCTGTCCTACAGGTTTGCTGGAGATGGCGGCGGAGAGCGGAGGGGTAAGATTCAGCGGTCACACCCTGGACAAAGCAACAAAGGCAAAGGTGACACTCGAAAATTATTACAGCAACCTTATAGCCCAGCATATGGAGCGAAAGCAGAGGTAACTTATATTATAATAACACTTTTATATAAACAAATAACTCTATGGAGTAGGGCCTGAATTAAGTAAAACATTAGGATATTTAATATTTAGAAAGGAATGAGGAGCTAATCATTATCAGCACAACAGCTGGTTAGATGACTACCCTGATAATGAATTTGGTTGGGAGGGCTGTTAATAAAGGCAAATTTAGATATTCAAAACCCAAAACAAAAGTAAAAGTGAACAGTATGATTTTCATTAAATTGTATTATTTGGCAATTGCTGTTCTATCAGATTTGGGAAATACCTCAAATAAAATATTTTAAGATATAAAATACATTTTTTGTATTTTAATAAATAAAATATAAAATACATTGTTTGTAACTGTATTTTCTTTTAAAAATATTAAGTACATAAAATGAAGTTCTTTGTATTTTAAAGGCATTATCAAATTGAGAAGTAGCCTTTAAGTTATGTAGTATCGTTCGTATAAGAACTCGCCCATGAAAATTGAGCTTTAAAATTGTTTACAGTCGATGGTGATTTTGAAATAAAACTGGTAAATAGTTCTCTTAAGTATTGGATGGTCCTAGAATGATCAATTTTTTTGAGTATTGGGTATTTTACAAAAGCTTATTGCCAAAACGTTTGGTTTGAAATGAATATCTATGTAGTCGTTTTATTTGCTGGTCAATTATAACTTTTTTAACCAATTGTTCTTTTAAAAAAATGTTTGTCGAATAAAATATTTTTTCGTCAATTAATTTTTTTTTTAAACTACGTCTACTGTTCCCTCCTTTCATAACTGCTTTCCTTAAAAAAAAAAAAAAATTATAATTTATAAAGCAGATCATAAATATTTTATATGAATCAGTTGTAAAGTGCAACTAGATAGATTAGACGTGGATATTTTGTATTTGTATTTTATACATTTAGTATTTTGTATTTAAAATACTTTTTCTGTAAGTATTTTGTATTTAAAATATTTTTTTTTGTAAGTATTTTAAATAGAATAGAATAGGAAATGACTTTATTCTGCGACAAAGTTCCTTTAGAATAACAAAATAGTATAAAATTAAAAGACTAATCTGGCCTAAATAAAACAGTAATTTAAAACTATGACAAGACTCTTATAACTATGTACAGTAGGAAAAATTATAATTATACACTTTTAAGAAAAATATATTGAGTTCTTTATAATAAGCTCTGTGTTTCTGCTAACAAAGGAAAGACGAATTTGACAATGTACAATGTCAGAGTATTTAAATAATAAATAATGTGTAAACACATCATTATCTTATTGTAACTATAGGTAGAGATTTAGTTGTATAAGAATAAAAAATAATAATAAAAACAAACAATTGATGCATTCAGTGGCATTAAGTGTAGGAATATATTGTAATATCCCTAGTGTAGTGTACAATATGGATTACAAATATACATTGTAATTAAAATACATTTTCCCCAGGCCCACTAGCGAATTCAGGATTTCATTTTAGAGGGCTTCAGCCGGAAAGCTTTTTTTTTCATATATATATATATATAGTTTTATATATATATATATATATATATATATATAAAACTATAACTACTTTGGAAAAAAAAATAATAACGATACTAACTACATATATGAAATGGTGTTTAAGTGATTCTTGAAGTCCTATTAAATGTAATTACATGAACAATAATACTTTAACAGATATTTTTTACCATAAACATGCTTACATTTTACGATTTTGGGTGGTCTTCACCCCGAAAGCTTTCTCCCCTCCCCCTCTCTCCGTCTGTGTATAGTATTACTTATAGATCTGTATCCTAATATTCTGTGTAGATCTGTGTTCTAATATTACTTATATTTATAAATACTATAATGTTAATTTATTTTTATATTTTTTAACAACAATGCAATAAAAATAGATTAATTTGATTTGTTGATATTGTGTACGCAAGTGTGCTGTCAATTGAGTTCTAATCATTCATCTATAATCTGCTTTGCTATCATTTGATATTTATTTTATAAGCATTGCTGATTATATTGATATGTAGTATGAAAATATTTAGTATCTTAATTTAATTCACAGATTAATATAATTTGCAGGTTGGCTAAATTAGAAGAATCATTAAAAGAAGAAGGACTTTCAGAATCACAAAAACAGGAGAAAAGAAATCAGCATGCCCAAAAAGAGACAGAGTTCCTACGATTAAAGCGTTCGAGGTTGGGAGTTGAAGATTTTGAACCCCTCAAAGTTATCGGAAGAGGTGCATTTGGAGAGGTAAAGTATCACGGATCTTTTTATGTATATATCACACATTCAGAATGAAAAAGTTATTGATAGAATGAAAATTAGACGCAGGCTTAGTTCTATTTAGAAGGCCCAATATTTCCCTTTCCACACTTTGCTAATATCACTTAATTTGTTTTACTATAAGGGTCAAGTGATTAAACTTTCTGTTATCAAATGTTGTTTTTCTTTCATTCTGGATGTATTTTATGTATATTTATAATATATTTTGTTTTATAAGAATATTTTAGTGAAGCTAATTATTATTTTGGGATATTGATTGTTACACAAAATATTGAAATCACATCGAACAGCAAGCTTTCAATTTTTGTATTGTTTATTAAACACAGGTATTAATTTATTTGTAGTATCCAAGAGTTGTATGAAAATTAGTTCATGTGATGAGTAGTTGGTCCATTGTTAGAAATACTGCAATCTTTAGTTGTTATTTCACCTTTTGTTCTTTTTTTTTTTTTTTTTTTTTTTTTGTCCAATGTATGATAACAGTCCAATAATGATGGTGAGGTTATGGATATGAGGTCACTGATTTCAATGAAACTTTTTTTGGGGATACTAGGTCAAAAAATATTAGACCCATGTCCGAGGGTTCTTGCTAATGGGCCCTAGGAGCCAAGAGAAAAATTGCATTAATTTTTTGTAATACGGTTTTCTGACTTTGATCGGCATAGATTTCTATGTCATTATTCATCAATTTTTTGTGTAAAATAGAAAAAATATTGTAAATTGTATTAAATGAATTCTTATATATAATAAATTACAAAAAACCATAGGTGCTTCCATTAAAATAGGCCAAGTAAACTTTTGTCATGATAAAACGATTCTGATTTGTTTTTAGGGTCCTTTTGTTTTTAGTCTCTAAAATACGAGTTTGTTTTGAAATTATAAAATATAAATTATTTGACTCAATGTTATGGGAGGATTTTTTTTTCATGCCGTATATTATAATATTCATAAATCTTCAGGATTTTACTGCAACCGTTGGAAAGCTAAATTATTTTTCTTCAAATCCATACAATAACTTTTAGATATTATGCCTTTATAAAGAATAAATCAAAGAAAACTCCCTAAATGTTTTTATTTTTTATTTCCAAGCATAATTTATCTGGCATCTGGTTTATGCCATTTTGTGTATATTATAGGTTCTATATTCATGTCAATTTTTGTGTGATTAAGTGAAGCCATGTAAAGGTTATCATAGCTTTTGTGATTTTGCGATAATTTTTATTTTTCAATTGACATAAAAATTCATATATAAGAGTTTTTTGAGGTGTGAAATACAAATCTCAGCTTCATTTCTCTTTAAAAAAATATTTGAACCTACCTACTTCCTACTTCCTACTCCTTGGGTCAGTACTAATTGTTTTAATATTTTACTCATACTACAGTTGTATGCCAAATATATATTTTTTTCTAAAATGGATGGGTACCGAAGTAGAATTGCTAACACGAAATTTGATATTTTTTTTATCTAAAAATAAGAATAAAGCAAATATTGTACAGATTATACCATCAAATATATTTTTTTCGGATTAGCAAAGATGATATTTGTTTTTTGCACCTCTAAAAACCCTTATATAAGAATTTTCGTTGCATAAAAAAAATAAAAATGTTTTACTCAATACTTCTATTAAAGCTCTTATGATACTTTTTTTTTATTTTTACCATCCATCCATCCAACCTTTTTGTTTTGTCTTCCCTTCCTTGCCTTTTAGGCTACAGGGGGTTTTTCCCAGGCCGGGTTAAAAGTCCCGATGGGCACCAGGATTTACAATTTTAATTATTTCTATCTCAAACTTCGGTAATCAGATTGCCGGGCAACACACAGTGATGTGCGCACCGGTTAGCCTGCTCAGCCACCCCGCTCCCAAACTATAAGTAAGAACCCTCGGACATACGTCTAATAATTTTCGACCTAGTATCACCAAAAAACGTTTCATTAAAATTGATGACCCTACATCCTCTTTTATTACGTAACCTCCCCTTGTCAGATGATGCAATAATCAAACCTATACCTGGTATTGGTCTACCTTGTAGACACTGAAACAATTTAATTTTTATCATACTTTTTCTTTTTGTATAGGTGAGGCTAGTTCAAAAAAAGGACACTGGACATGTGTACGCCATGAAAATCCTTCGCAAAGCAGATATGCTGGAGAAGGAACAAGTGGCTCATGTAAGAGCAGAACGGGATGTCCTTGTTGAAGCTGACCATCAATGGGTCGTCAAAATGTATTATTCCTTTCAGGTGATTAATATTTATTATGTTATGAAAATATAATTGATTTATTATTTATGTATTTATATTCATGTATTTTCTCAACCTAAACAAGTGCTGCTTGCTTGCATCAAATCAAATTGCTCATTTAAGGTTTGTACATGCCTGAGATGTTACAGCTACTTTTTCGTTAAAATTGGCTAACCAGAATTGCCACTTATATCATTGATTTTACACATTTTTACAATTTTCTCAAAAACAACTGTTACGATTTTTAAAATTAAAATTAAGCGGTTTTTAATATAATAAGGTCTTATTCTTATTGATGTTCTCTAACAGTGTTTAAATGCCTGATTTTCTAAATTTCTTCCTCTAAAGTATCTTTAATTTTTTTTATTTGAAATAATTAACCATTTCACTTTAGGAACTGATATAAAAAGTGGTTAAATATTATTAATGAATAAAATTTATTGGTAACTAAAGAAGAAATAAGAGTTAGAAGCTGTTTTTTTTTTTAATGTTATATGGGATATGAGAAGGATACTAATGCAAGGCAAGATGCTGACTGAGCTGAGTTCCACTACACAATTGGTTGCCGACCCATATATATATATAGCATATATAAAATTTTTAAAAAATTGCGAAATGATCACGTCGGAGTTGAAAAGAAAAATCGAATATTTTTGTATAAAATCAAATATTTTCCCTTACACTTTAGATTAAGAATTTTTCCATTTTCATTGCATATTTTACCCTGAACCAAAATAAAATAATTTGAGAGGTTGTGCAGTGAAAACGAGTGGAATGAAAAGATGATACTAAGGAACAAAGCCACAATGTTTCGAGGCAGTGGTGAGTAGGTGTGGTGGGGTAAGCTGAGTGTAGCTTCAAAATGAAACCTCGGTCGAGCCAAAGTTGAGCAGAGCTGCCCCTTGATACACCCAAAAAACTTAAAGCAGAATCTTGATGATGGAGCTTAAAGCTGAGAGGCTAAGCTCAGCGAGAAGAAGGCCTTCATCCAATAAAAACTTAAGACAGCTGCATTTCCAAACATCTTCCCTTTCGACAAGTGTAACAAAATTTAGATATATATAGTTTTTTTTTTTTTAAATAATTCCAGTGAGCAAAATTTTATCAACATGTTTATGCTTTTGTAAATTTTCTGTAAATCACCTAATTTTTACTTTTATATTCAATATATTCTAGTTTCCTTGCATGTTATATATTTTTCAATTATAACAAATTTTTGACATTAACAATACAGGTAATATATTTTTTTTAAAATGTACACAACTGATTTTTATATTCATATTTGTAGGACCCAATCAATCTCTACCTCATTATGGAGTTCCTTCCAGGAGGAGATATGATGACCCTCCTAATGAAGAAGGACACCCTAAGTGAGGAATGTACCCAGTTCTACATAGCCGAAACTGCTCTTGCAATAGACTCCATTCATAAACTAGGATTCATTCATAGGTAATAATTGTATCCCTTAATTAGAGAAAGCATTTTTCATATTGAATTATCAACCTATGTTTTCTGATCAAAATATTTTTATCATAGTTGATGATGTTTTGACCTATCCAAATTGGTTGTCATCATCAGGGCTAAAAAATGAAAATAGTACACCTAAGCTAATAGTAATATAAACATTAGTATATATACCATTCTACACAGGTGTCCATACCATTTTAGTTGCCGTTCTTGCAAGTTGTCGCCCACTGATTTAACACCCAGATCCTTCCAAATTCTTTCATTTCTGCTGATGTTATCCTACTTATGTGCTTGTCGAGGGCTGTCCTGTTTTATGATCCATATAGGAGATCTCGGAGGGACACGGATTTAAATATCCATATTTTCGTATGTCTACTACTTCTTGCTTGCCTATAACAATTTTGGAAATCTGATGGCACAATCCATTGGAGTTCTTCACTCGATATAGGACCTCCTGGTCTATTTTACCATCATTAATTGTTATGATCCCTAGATACGTATAAGTATTCGTAAGTTCTAGGGATTTACCATTATACAAAATCTGTGTCTGTACGTTTTCTCACTCTGCGTGTTCTCTTTCCACACATGATTTTACTTTTGTTTGAGTTTATTTGTAAACCTCTTATCTTCAGTTTCTATTCATCCAAGGATGCCTGAAGGGCCTTTTCAGAGTCAGCCACCAGCACGATATCATCGCTTAAGCCAGTACTGGATAGGGATTGACCAATATCGAAATTTTGGCCGATACCGATACTACAAAGGCCGATATGGCCGATATATCGGCCTTTTTTTCGCTTTTTCGTCAAGAATTGTGCAGTTTCACTTAGAATATCTTACTTATTGCTAAATAAAAGGATAAATATTCCATCTACGCATCAGCCTATACACAAATTTCGACCTATAAAAAATAGATAAACCTATATTTCACCATATTGGCCATTTGTTTCTATACCTCTAGTTCAGTATAACGTCGCATAGAAAATTCTCGTAATTGCTGAATATAAGTTTCAATCAAACATCACAATATATCAGCCTGATGACTTTATTTTATCGAGATTAGCACAGTAAAACCATTTTTTAAATTTATTTATACATTTTTTTTTATCATGGAGTTTCGCATAGAATAAATATTACTTCTAATACTAATAGATATGTGAATCAGTTTTAAAGGGACTGACACAAACATAGATTTGAGCGAAGGGAGATAAATCGTCCTCACAATTTTTTTTTTTTTTAGGGTCCACCCCTTTATCACCTTTTAGACTATCTTGGTCAGGGGGGGAGGGAGTGGGGTTAATGCCAGAGTTAAAAGTCTCCCTATGGTACCAGGACACAAACTCGTAACTATTTGTATAAAATTCTCTCATATATCAGGTAGCCGGTCAACGGTGTTGCTGAGCTTACGAGTTAGCTTCAAGAATTCATTATAAAAAATGAATAAAATTATCAAACTCTACCAATCTCGAGTTTTTGTTTTTGGTTTGTGCTTGTCTTTTTCCAAATGTTTTTTGGTTCAACCCATGAACCAATTATCGTCTTTTTGAATTTTTTTTATCATAATTCGTAGAGTTTCTCATGAAATATTATTTATACTAATAATAAATGGACCAATCAATCACCATGGAACTGATATAAACATAAATGTGAAAATAAAGAACGATATATCGGCCTTAAGATTTAATTTTATAAAGATTAATAGAATTTGATAAATTTTTTTTTTAATTTTGGGCTTGTCTTCTTCCAGAAGTTTTTCCGTCCAATGATATATTGGTTTGAAAAAAATGTGGTAGTGGTGCACAAAAAAAAAAATATATATATAAAATAAAATAAAAAATAAATCAAACTCGATTAATCTTCAAAAATTATGGCTGGGAGGCCGATATATTGGTTTTCAAAATATCAATATCTGCTCAAATTAGTGGAGGACAAAAAAAGTATTAAAAAATTGATCAAACTCTATCAATCTAAATAAAAAAGATTATAAGGCCAATATATCGGTCTTATTCATATTTATGATGATCTCTTGACGCTTTTATTAGCAATGACAATAATATTGTGCTTTTTTTTTTTTCAATGATCAAATTCTAATAATCCTAATAAAATAAAGTCATTAGGCCGATATATTGGTCTTTGATCAAATTTATGTTTATGTTGGTCCCTTGGCGAATGATTGGCACATTTATGAACAATAAAAATAATATTCAAATGCGGATGAGGCCGATATATCAGTTTAAAAGGATGACCAGAAAATTGTGCAGTGGTTCACAAAAAAAAAAAAAAAAAAAAAAAAAAAAAAAAAAAAAAAAAAAAAAAGATAAAATAGGAGAAATTAAACTACTAATCTTGTTAAAATAAGGTTGTGAGGATGATATATCGGTGTTTGTCCAAATTAGGAGAAGAGAAGAGCCAGAAAAAGAAATTTAATTAAAATTTGTCCAACTCTACCAGACCAAAATATTCAATACCAAAAAAAAGTCTTATAGGTGATATATTGGCAAATCGGCATTTAATGTCGGCCAATATGGATAATCAGTCAGAAGGCTGATATGCCGATATTAATATTGGTATCAGTTGATCTCTAGTACTGGAGTTAGGTTCCAAAATCTACTAGTGCTCTTGGGTATCTCCTTTTACACACCTTCCGTATCTCACCCATAAGCAGGATAGTACAAATAGTAGTGGGCTTAGGCTGTCTCCCTGCTTTACTCCTTTATAAAAGTGGAAATGCTGCGATGTCTGACCATTAAGTCTTTCAATGCTCTTTGGGTCTTGGTACATTGGTTTAATTGCACTCACCAAGTTTGCTGGCACTCTTCTTGTTATTAGTGTGTCCCATATTTCCTGCCTCCGGACTTGATCAAAAGCCGCCCTCAGATTCAGGAATGTCAAGTATACTGCCTTTTCCCGATCCCACGCCTTCTCTGCTATCATTCTCAAGGGAAAAAGTAAAGTTCATGTCCTTCATGTTCAATATTCATGGCCTTCTCAACAATACGTCACTGTCAACAATACTTCTCAACAATCTGACATTCCTTGATAATCTTCGAAGCGTGAGTAGTCGCAGTATGGCATAAAAACATCGGCTTCCGACAGCAATCCTGGCTCCTACGTCATTGTCTACCGTCATGAGGGATCCACAAGTACTTGAACTCCCTGCATAATGGGATCTGATAGTCTTCGAAGCGTGAGTAGTCGCAGTATGGCATAAAAACATCGGCTTCCCACAGCAATCCTGGCTCCTACGTCATTGTCTACCATCATGATGGATCCACAAGTACTTGAACTCCCTGCATAATGGGATCTGATAGTCTTCGAAGCGTGAGTAGTCGCAGTATGGCATAAAAACATCGGCTTCCCACAGCAATCCTGGCTCCTACGTCATTGTCTACCGTCATGAGGGATCCACAAGTACTTGAACTCCCTGCATAATGGGATCTGATAGTCTTCGAAACGTGAGTAGTCGCTGTACGGCATAAAAACATCGGCTTCCCGCAGCAATCCTGGCTCCTATCTCAGCTCCTACGTCATTGTCTGCCGTCATAAGGGATAACAGGTACTTGAATTCTCTGCATACTGGAGACTTGTGTTGGCCTATGTTTAGTGTCCGATCTTGATGAGGGCGATGTCTTGAACTCTTCACGTACATCGTCTTTTGCTCGTTTATTTGTAGACTTCGAGCTGCTACAGGGATCTCAAATTCTTTCAATGCACCCGCCAGCGCTGGGAGCTTCCTTGCCACAATCTCTACATCATCTGCGTACGCCTTATGGGCTTATGGCCCTTGCCGCCATTGATTGTTGACTGTAGTGAATAATTTAAGAAAAAGATGGTTGAGATAAATATAATCATTTATTTTTACTAATTTTTTTTTTTATCTGATCACTCCGATTCTTCTCTTTGGTTATAAAAGATATTCCTCGAAAAAATAAAACTTGAATTAATCAAAGAAGTTTTTCCTCAAATTCAAAGAGAAAAAAAAACACTTAAAAAAATTTGATATTTCTTTGAACTTAGTGAAACTTTCCACTCCAATTCAGTTTTAATGTTTACATTTTTAAATTAACTAACTATTTTAATTTTTGAAGAGAAGAATGGTTGGTGTGATCAGTCAAAAAAAAAAAGTTAAAATAAATAATTATATTTTTTTTTACTGATCACCCCAACCATTCTTCTCTTCAATTATTCACTACAGTTAACTATCAATCCACAATCATTTTAATTTTAAGTTTATAGCAATGTATCCAGTTTGATTTTGGGCAATAAAAATAAAACATGCAATAAATACTAAAAAAATGTGCAATTTCATGTGAAATAAAATTTACATCAAATTAATCAGAATGCTTAAATTTGTGCTAATAAATTGTTCTTAGTTAGTTTTAAATCAGAAAAAAAAAGTTATATTTGCAAGAGAATTATAACAATAGTTTTTTTTTTTTTTTTTTTTCTTATGCCATTCGTTGGTCATTTGGCCATCCGACATCTTGCTGCCCAGTATAATTTAGACTTTCTTATGTGTATATTCGGAAATATTTTGTCTCTTATGTCCCTCAAGGCAGTACATGCGTCTAGATGGTCTGCATCCATTATTCCTAGATGACACAATTTACAGGTAGGATCCTCAGCGACGCCTATCTTGTAGAGATGACTCTGCAGATAGTCCTGACCAGTAGCCAGGCGGAAGCAGGCAACTGCATCTCTTCTCGGTAGCTCAGCTGGGATCGGGTTATCCTTCAACCACTCGTAACGCTTCCCTTCCACTTTGCCGAAATGTGCTTTTCTTATTTCCTCCTTCACTACCATCTTCACCATTCCCCGTATTGAGTCGTAAGGTTTTGGATGTATCGGCTAAGGCAAATCTGTTCTTCGCTTGGCAAGAATATCAGCCTCAACGTTACCCGGAATCCCACAATGGCTGGGGATCCACTTTAGGACCACATTGGTGCCTCGGTGTTATTATTTATAACAATAGTTAGACCAAATAGGTAATTAGAGGTGTTAGACCAAATAAACAAACTCTAGGTATTTTAGCAAAAGTTAATCTAATTGTTAGGCGCACAATGGACCCACTAGGGGTCGACGTGCTCAGGGCCAACACTAATAAAAACAAATCTAATTGTAATTATTGTTTTCTTTTATGATTTTTAAAATTTATTTTCCAGATCTCTTAAGATCAAAATTATATTGCCTTATTATATTTTTTCTCTTTGCCTGAAAACTTCTGGAGTATTTTGCAGTTAGTGGTTAATTTATACCTAATGTGTCACTCTAGTTCTAATTGAGTTTAAATTTATTCTCATATGTTGTTATATTATACATACTGTTGTTTTTTTAAGTAAATCTAATCATCGCACTCATTTTTGTATAGGGATATAAAGCCTGATAATCTTCTTCTGGATGCTCGAGGGCATATCAAACTGTCAGACTTTGGGCTTTGCACAGGGTTAAAGAAGTCTCACAGGACTGACTTTTACAGAGATCTCAGCCAAGCAAAACCTTCAGATTTCAGTAAGTTTTTAGTAATCATACTGTTAAAGTATGTATTTTATTAAGAAAAACATTAAGCTTGTTTAACCAGAAGGAAATGACTTGAAAAATAATTTTATGGAGAAACTACAAAAGATAATAGAGATCATTGGGAATAACTTAATTTGTGTATGAGTTTGTATTTAGACAATCTGAATGTGCCTGCCTCTATTCTGATTGAATATAAACGGTTATTCCATCTAAAACAAAGAATAATAAATAAACAAAAAAACAGGTTATGTCTTTACAAGGAAAGCCACCTCACTGGGAATCATATAAAAACTCATTTTTTATGTTGATTATTTATGTATTACACAATACTTGAGAAATATTGGTAATAATGAAAATTCAAATTCTTTTTTTACTTTTCAGCCATTATTAATTAAATTTTAATTTTCTTGATTATTTTTTTAAGTTGAGCAATTTAATTCATTTTTTTCTTGTTCATAGTATTAATTTTCCATGATAATAAATATTTTATAGACTTTTAGTAAATCATTTAATATTGATTTACCTTCTATATTTTTTACTTCTTTTTCAGCTATTTAATTGATTTTTCAATTTCCATTTCATCAAAATAGTTTTTTTTTTTAAACAAGTATTATATAAATATTTAATTGTTGCTATTAAAAATCTAAAACATCAATTTTATGTTAATCAGGTCGCTCCCCCTTCTTTCAAAGATTAAAAAAATCATGGCCTCATATATTGCTATTTTTATTGATATTTCAATATATTTGTTTCTACAAATATTATTGTTGAACACTTACATCCCAGCCCTTTTTAAAGATTAATAAAAATTTTAAGGCCCAATATATTTTTTCGATATTTACCTCACTTCTTAAGTCATTTCGTTACTAACACTCAGTTAAACGTTTCCTAACCTAGCTGGGTCTTTAACATTCACAATGGAGTGCAACTCTTTGATTGCTTAGCAAATAGTAAAATGGTAAGGGGCAGAATACCAAAAGGTTACAGTAAAGAATTATAGAAGAATGAGAAATAAATTGCTGTACTTGACTAAAATAATAAAACTTATTAAAATATTTCATTGTGTTGTTTGAATTTAGTCAATTCCTTCTATTTTAATGTAAAGTTGATATTTTTTAGACAACTGTGTATGACAGGTGTATTGAATGTTTCAGCATCAAACCCAATGGATAGTAAACGTAGAGCTGAAAGTTGGAAAAGGAATCGAAGACAACTAGCTTACTCAACTGTTGGCACACCTGACTACATAGCACCTGAAGTGTTTCTCCAAACTGGATATGGCCCTTCTTGTGACTGGTGGAGTCTTGGTGTTATTATGTATGAAATGTTAATAGGTATGAATAGCTTTCACGGTACAGCATATCTTTTATGTTATATTAGAGCATCATTCACCTTCATCGTCATGAATAGCGAATTGAACAAATCCGCTTACCCAAGCATGGCTAATTATGTATATTAATAAGTACAGCTATGGCTGAAAATATGTTTTCTTTTAAAAATAATTAAAATTGTTATTTACATTGCCTTTGTAATATTATCTAAAAGAACAGCTCGTTTTTTGTTTGTAATCACTAACTTTGAAAACTACAGAACCAATTTACACACAGATAGCTTTAAGCTACTAAAATAATTAGAAATAATGTACTATAGAATATTATGTGTAAATAATATACTGAAATAAATAGAAAGAAAGTTTAAAATGTTTTTAACGTTTTTAGACAGTTTTCTAAACATATTTGACAATAATTATTTCTAATTTTACATTATTGTTGTAATTGCATTCAGATGTCTTTAAAAAATCCCTAGAAATTAAAACTTATTGGTCAACACACAAATATCACTAAGAGAAAACAAGAAATACGCAATTATTATTAGGCAGTAAATAAGGAATTTCAAAAAATATGTCATGTTGATTAAAATTTATATTTTAAATTTTATTAAAATATAGGAAGTAATAGCAAGTTATTATAATTATGATTCATAATTTTTAAAAAGTTTAATTATTAGTACTTTTTTTTAATAGGTTACCCTCCATTCTGTTCTGAAAATCCGCAAGAAACATATAGAAAAGTCATGAATTGGCGTGAGACACTAACATTTCCACCGGAAGTACCTATCTCCGAGGAGGCGAAAGAGACTGTCCTAAGGTTCTGTATGGAAAGTGACAAACGGCTTGGCAGTTCTAGGGGTAAATTGTTATATCTAACTTTCTATGTTCTGATATCATTTAGTTAATGTATCTTTGTCTCTTTAGAAAATCGTTTGTACTTTTATTTATTAATAATTATATTATTAGGTATTTTTTGTTATTATTATATGTTTATATTTAATTTAATTTATTTATATGTTAATTATATTATATGTTTTAATTATTATTAACATTAATAATAATTAAAAACAAAAATATCTATCACCATTCTATCAATTGAAAGTTTAATGGTTTATTATTTCAGGGATAGAAGAGCTCCGTAATGCACCTTTTTTTAATGGAGTTGACTGGGATCACATGAGGGAGCGGCCAGCAGCAATACCAGTTGATGTTAAGTCGATTGATGACACATCCAATTTCGATGAATTCCCTGATGTCAAACTCGAAATACGTAAGTTCATTTTTTATTTAGATAGTATTACTTGTTATTAAATTTTTTAACATGAGTATATTGATTAATTAATAGCAATATAAACTATTTATATCCTAGAAACTATGGTTTAATATTGGCCTCCCATATTTTTTGTTTTCTAATATAAGATTCATTTAACAGAATTTACTGTTTTCATGAAATTAAATAAAACAAGTAGAACTTCCTGAAAATTTGTTTTTGTTCATCAAGTCATTATTCATCAAATTATTATATGATTTAAACTATAATTTATAGTTAATAATAAAATTTAAGGATGGATGTAAATTCATAAAAAAACTATGTATGCCTTTTGTGTTTATCAAATTTTATATTATTTGTTTATATTAACTTAATCAGTTAATCACTTTTTTGAATCATATCCCAAGCTCCCAAATTTATATGCACTAAAAATCCTAGTAAATAAATAAAGCTCAAATTAATTTGATAATAGTAAAAACACAAATTAACAAATAAGAAATAGTAAGTATATTAAATATAAGCATGCATATGTTTAAACACCAAAATATGATTGTAACAGAAACTTAGAATTAGAAATATTTAAAAATTAGGAATGATTGTGATTAAAAATTAATTGCTAACATGAACAAAATAAATAAAACACAAATGGGTTATTAAACGATATGTTCTGCATTTAAATTAATTAAGGAATGTTTAAATTTGTTTCTGAAAACTAATCTTCAATCGTTTGGAATGTTTATATAATTTTTAAATAATGATCTTTCTATGTCAACAGATGTAATAGAAGCAAATTTATAGTCACTTAAAATGATCAGATTGTTGATTTCATCAGAAACTTGTGATGAGCAATAGTTGCAATTTTTCCATAATTAAAAAAAAAAATTATCTTTGATATAATATTGTAATATTCCAATTTTGAAGAAGACAGTGCACTTGCTTTTAGCATTTAAACTGATAATAATAATATTACCTCCTGTAAAGAAAGTAAGTAAATTAAGTGAATCAAAACGGTGTGTTGTTACATTTACATCTTTTATTTCACTTTTTGGAGCTACTTGAAGTTGGAGTTTTGATGTAGTAATGTGGCATTATTGGATTTGAAAATGAGAGAATAACCCTTCTTTACACATTTGTGCATGATTTTTTAATTCCCATTTTCTCATCTCCATATTAATAATGTATATCCGTTTATTGCAAGAAGTCATTAAGTGACACTTCATAACTTTAAATTAATAAGAACTTTGATGAATTTTAGACTTGTAAAATCATAAAATTGTGTGCTTGTTATAGGCATATTTGATATTGCTACCATTATTGCAAAAGGTTGTATATAACAATTTTCCATGTTTATTCTATTTGTGCTAATGGTGACATTTTGTAGTCTGAAACTGAAATAAGTAGTCTGCTACTATGGAAAATAGCAGAGGGAAATAAAATATGAAATTATACTAATAAATCATAAAGCAATCATCAGTTTTGAAGCTCTTCTGTAAAATAACTTAATTTTTACAAACGATCTTTTTCACTAACAGTAGCGATATATAAAAGGGTTTGTGTCATTTTAGTGCACTTTTTTAATCAAAAAATGAATTCGAAATTCACAATAACGTTCTTAAAAGTTTGGCTCTATCAAAAATGTACCTTGTGACTTTTTAGAATAATCCTATGATATAATCATTTTAAAAACTTGTTTTTTGCTTCCTCATTACTGTAGGTTGGGAAGCTTTGTATTCGTGCTGGAAGTTAAAAAAGCTTTTGTGCTCAGAGTCGAAAATTTCAACTCGCATTTTACGTCTCAGACATCAAGGATCAAACTTGGTTCGGTGTCTGTCCGTGTTTAGTCAAATCGATGGGACTAACATATCACCTGCTATCATTTATCCAATTTTCAGGGATTGTGCGGGTTGGTACCTAGATGGTCCCCTATCAATTTCATTTAATTCGATACAATAGTTCCACTTGCACATGCCGAAATGTATTTTCTTAGATATAGCAATATTTAAGAAACAATTCAACTCGTTCAATTATGCTCAAAGTTTTAAAAAAATTAGTATTAATAAAATAATGATGCTGTAAAAATTGTATTGAATTCCGTCATCTACTTTTTTTTATACATGCATTTATTTATTTATTTATTTTTCTTAACATGCCCATATCTCAAAAACTGCGCGTTCAATTTCATCCAAATTTGGAGAGAAGTTAGTGATTGATAAATAAATGATCAAATAGCTATCAATTTCTTTAAATTCTATTCAATACTTTAAAAAATACTTCCGATTTGGATCTGTAAACGTATCATTTTTGATCCGTTTGTAGTCTGAAAAGGCTCGTTCGATTCGATCCAGAGTAGGAGGGAATTTGGAGAATAGTATACGAATTGCCTAGTATCAATTTCATATGGAAGGCATTGAACATTTGGTGGTGCATTCAAACATTTCTCAAATTATGGTAAACACTATTATCTAACTTAACTAATAGCGACATTAGCACTAAAGCAATCTATTTATTTCATTTCTCTTAAAACTGACACCAGATGGAACATATCAAAAACAAGAAACAAAAATACTAGCAGTGAAATAACCATTTATATATTTGTTTGGCCCATAGTTTGTAAAATGTATTGTTTGTGCCGAACAAACAAAAAATTGTTTGTTTTTTTTCAATGAATTATTTCCATACATTTCACAATTTAAAATATTCTAATTAAGTACAATATGTACTTGCATACTGTACTGGAAATTGCTTAAGTTCATGATTTTATTAAGTTATCCTGAAGAGTCAAATACGTAAGTTGTAAGTGTGGAACTCTTTAACTTAAATGATTTTTTCATGGCAGAAATGTTTATTTTTTATTTTATTTATTTTTTTATAATAATTTATTATCTGTTTAATTATCAAAGTATATTTATAGTATGTAAGATTTATGACTGAAAATTCTGACTATACATCTTCATCTTCCTAGATAGATTTTATGTTAGTTTGCAGAGAAATACTTCTTTAAACAATATCTTTGAATACTAGCTTTCTTAATTTTGTCCTTTTGTTATTTTAGCATCGGCACCCGTGGCCCAGGACGGGGAAGTGACCCACAAGGATTGGGTGTTCATCAACTACACCTTCAAGAGGTTCGAGGGCCTTACCCAGCGAGGAGCCCCGAACAAGAAATAGTCATCGCCGTTCTGTGCCTTCCTCATATTGCTCTCTTGCTCCCTCTTGTGGTCTCTCTTTATCTCTCTCTCATCATTCACTTATCATCTTTCATTTTTATCCTCACTGTTTTCTCATTTCATTTTAAGCTATTTATATTTAATATCGTTTTTTAATTTGTTGACGAAACTTCACATTTTTTTAAAATGTATTTTTAATTTTTTTTTGTCTTTCTATAAATCATATGTTGTACAATTTACATGTATAATATGTTTGTAATTTAAATAATTGTAAATGTGGTACTGCTGATCAAAATGTTATCAAGTGTTGATGGTGCATCGTAAATGTGATTCATATTTTTTTTTTGTTTGTTTTCAAAATGGTAGAGCTCTTTATAAGTTACCTCGTGTAAATTCATTTCTCATATGCTTTTGGGTGTCTTAAATATTCTAATTATTGTTGAATAAATTATAAAACTGTGACTTAAAGGATTAAATGAAAGAGCTCTATAATTTTGAGAAATTAAAAAAAAAATTGTTTTTAAGGGCTGTTGAATTGCGATGTTTAACATTTCTTCGTTTGCAGATATTAGAGTCCATAGTGTTAGATTAATTTTCTCTGATATATTTATTGTAAAACAAAAAAAAATGCACTTTTTTTTAAGTGTACTTGTATATAAGGTTTAAGTTTATTGCTTATATGTGTTGCCTATTTTTTGTATTATTGATTTGTTATCGTGGATTTATACGTTTTATATGTCCAATTATGTATCTTATATCGACTTGTTTCATGTATAGATTCTGTTTCTTATTTAAGTCTCTATTTTCTAGGGCTTTTGTTTATAAAAAATTTCATTATTTAGTATTAAGTTAAACCAAAGTTGATTTTCATTTTTCTTTCTTTTTTTTTTTTTTTATTCTTTTAAGCTAAAAAACATTGCAGATTGCTTCTTGTAGCATTTTATTTATTAAGAATAGTACGTCAATTGAAATAGGATTTATAGTAAGCAGTTATTTGGGGTAAATTATATAGATACTTGTGATATAGAATTTGAGAATACCAAAATGATAGTACTGACCAACATTCTGCCTCCTTGGTCAATATATAGCACATATATTTATTTACTTTGTCAATATATTTTCGAGCAATGGAGACGGAGACATTTTACAATGGAAGCTTAAATGAGTAGTGGTCTTAAACTGCTTGCACGTATGTCTGGGAAAGAACTTCTACAAATATATTAAATTTTGTAGTCAATGATCATACTATATAACTATTTTAAACTAAATACATTTAATTTATAAAAATATAAATATGTTTCATCACTTGATTTAATAATGCTCAAATTGTTATTTTACTAAAGGCACAATTCATATTAAATATTAGAACAACAGGGTATTCAGTTCACTGAGATCATACAACACTGTTGTATGTCTACAAGCCATTTCTTGATTGTACATTAGGTATCATACAATTTTAAATTATAAAACCATATCATGCTTCCCGAACCATATTTATTAAGCAGAATGAAATCTGAAATTTGGTACAATTGTGTTAATAAAGGCTTTATGAAATCACTTAACCTGTCTTTTTTTTTTTTTTTTTTTGTTAGTTTTTTCTTATCCTCCATCCCTATGCTTTTAACAACATTATCAGAAATGAATATGAAAAAGATTTTCTGCATCTCCACCATCTCTTGTTAGCAAGATAATGCTGAAAGGTGTTTTATTCATTAAGCATAAACAGGATGTCCGATAAGTAGAGGGAAATTTTTTTAGAATTGATAGCAGACCTCAAGAGCTACAAACAAGTTCATATGAACATCAGTCTAATTTTCAGCAGAAATGTAGGAAATTTAAGCATTGTGTTTTTTTAGCATCATGTTTTTTATTTTATTGAAAGCAAAAACCAAAACAATACTTAATTTAAGTAATTACCAATTGCTTCACAGTAAACTAGACCACAATTATTTCAAATTATTAATTTAGCCACTCCTTCCATTTAAACTCCTCTTTGAATGGTTTTAACTATAACAAACTATATATATTATATGAGGAGTTGATCGGGGGGTGCGGTCAAATAAATACTAAATTAAACAAATAGTAATTATTTAATTTTTGCTGACGTTTCGACCCACTTTGCTGGTCTTGATCAGGGCGTAGGATCTAGCACTGCAGGAGGCAGTTGAAACACTGGCCGAGGTGGTTGACCGTTGATACAATATGAGAAGGAGTTGATCGGGGGATGTGGTCAAATAAATACTAAATTAAATAAATAGTAATTATTTAATTTTTGCTGACGTTTCGACCCACTTTGCTGGTCTTGATCAGGGCGTAGGATCTAGCACTGCAGGAGGCAGTTGAAACACTGGCCGAGGTGGTTGACCGTTGATACAATATGAGAAGGAGTTGATCGGGGGATGTGGTCAAATAAATACTAAATTAAATAAATAGTAATTATTTAATTTTTGCTGACGTTTCGACCCACTTTGCAGGTCTTCATCAGGGCGTATGATCTAGCACTGCAGGAGGCAGTTGAAACACTGGCCGAGGTGGTTGACCGTTGATACAATATGAGAAGGAGTTGATCGGGGGATATGGTCAAATAAATACTAAATTAAACAAATAGTAATTATTTAATTTTTGCTGACGTTTCGACCCACTTTGCTGGTCTTCGTCAGGGCGTAGGATGTAGCACTGCAGGAGGCAGTTGAAACACTGGCCGAGGTGGTTGACCGTTGATATAATATGAGAAGGAGTTGATCGGGGGGGTGTGGTCAAATAAATACTAAATTAAACAAATAGTAATTATTTAATTTTTGCTGACGTTTCGACCCACTTTGCAGGTCTTCATCAGGGCGCAGGATGTAGCACTGCGGGAGGCAGTTGAAACAGTGGCCAATTATTATATATTATAGTTGAAAGGGAATTAAAACAAGTCGAGAATAATTCATGATTTTTTTTTTAAATTAAGCTAGTTTAGTTTAGCGGCTGGAAATTCCTCTTTCAGTAGTTTTATCAATGACAAATTCCATTTTATTTAATTTAATTTAACACAATTTAAGGTAAATTTTGTACAGTTTATTGTGAAGCAAGTGGTAATTACTTAAATTATGTATTTTTTTAGTTATCGCTTTCTGTTGAACAAAAACTGTAACTAGCACAAAAAATTTCCTACTTTTCTACTAGAAATTGGGCCATTGTTTGCATGAACTTTTTTATAGCTCTTTATATCAAGCTTTTAAATATTCCCACGGGATACTTTGTATAATCGATTTTACACATTTTTAGAATTTCATCGAAAATGGTTCCTTGATTTTTTATTAAATCACTTGAAGAATTGATTGATAATTTTGATTAAATCACATGCACACACACACTGTATACTGCTAATACTGGAAGATGGACCTATAGATTTCGTGTATGATATCAGCTCATGGTCAGGTGAACTTCTATGCAACCCAACTGTTGATTGGACACGGGTGCTTTAGAGCCTATCAGTATTGGTTCAAATTGGATACACCGTTAAATGTTCGGCTGGCATGGGAATCGAAGAAATGGTAGAGTAGAACACGTGTTCTTTTCATGCAACCACTTTGACATGGAAAGAAAAGAATTGGAGGATGGGTGTGGAGTGACTATCACTCCCAAAAATCTGGTGACATGTTGATAAAGAACAAACATTAAGAAACTGTGAATAAATTCTTCAGAGTTGTCCTGATGAAATTGAGAGCGGAAGAAAATATCAGGAGAGGCTCTTAGCCAGAAGATAAATATCTCACGACTATTAAATGGCCATAATACAATGAGACGTCATATTGTCATTCCCTTCGATGAAGTAATGGCGGTGATGAGAAGTTGGTTTTAGTGAGTAAGAATCTCACACGCCAATAGGAGTACCCTACGATCAGGGGCCTATTTGTGTCTTTTGAAGATTTCCATCTACCCAAGTAAAAAAAAAAAACCACACATACACAGTTTTATTATACATCCCTTTTGGAGTAGAGCCCTTTTACGTCTCTCAGGACCATCTGAAATCACCCAAATTAAATTAATTTTGTTCCTCTAAGTTTTGATTTTTATCAGTTAATCCCTATTTAAAGATGAGTTCAAAATTAGGGTTAACTTAAATTTTTAAGCATCATAATTTTGTCTTCACCATTTAGGATAAATGTTTTGACTGAAAACATGTTTTGGGAAAATGTTTCAAACTTTCATAATTTTGTAAATATCAAAGTAAAATAATGATGGTTATTTTTCCTACACATTTTCTCTTTTTGTCTACAATTAATAAAAGTCATTGGAAAAAATAGGGCATTTCAAAACTCAGATGGTGCTAAGTCAATTAATCAAAACGGGAAAAATTGTGTTTTAAAGATTTGGATGCCGAGCTCAAGTTGCTATGGAATGTCGGGCTGCCATCGTAATAAAGCCCTTAAATTTACCATATTTATTCAAAAGAAATAGTAATTTTAGCAGGTAGCCTTCTAAGAACCACATTCGCCGCAAAATAATTATAACATTGTTTAGGTTTTTTAAATTCCACTTTTTTTTCACTTTTTTTTGAGAGAGCTGTGTATACATCTTACATTTAAATAAATTAAAAACCTTATAAATGTATCGATTCCTATAATAGTGATCTGGGAGAAACACAAAATTTCATAACTACTTTACATAAAAAAACTAGGTACTTGTCTAGTAGCCAGTCGGGAAGAAACCTCCCTTGTTATCTGTAGTCTTTTTTCTAAAAGAAAAAATCATGTTGGGAGAGTTCGACCTGAACAATGGATGTTTGCCGAGAAATAGATAAGTGTTTCATCATCAAAATAAACAACAGAAAGTCAACAACTTTATTACAATGTATTAAAAACAATATAAAAGAGAGAAGCACAATTTATTCTGCCTGAGGGAAGTTGTCTATAGTTTTTACAAAAAAAAACAAAGTTTTTTTTTATAATCTAAAAATGTTTTAATTTATGTTTAGGATAATAAAAAGGTTGCTAAAAATAGAAAATATCAAAACAAAAAATAAAAGATTTCTATTGTTTGACAACCATTGTGAGGAAGATATTTTGTTCCAGCTTGATTTTAAAATTATCCATTGAAAGGTTATTTATTATTATTTTAAGATTAGTAAAGATTATTTGAATGAAGGAAATGGAAAAAACAAAAAAATAGACAAAGATTAGATATTGTTTGAGTAAAATTATTTATAACAATTGTTTATTTGTTTTTTCTCAAAGGTGTGAAACCTTCAATTCATCAATACCTAATATTTTATAATTATTAAGAATTAATAACGATAGTAGTCTGGTTTATAAGGTCCCTCAATTGGAATATCCAAATATTCAGATTGATCGGGCGTGAGCTTCGTTAGTTTAACACCAAGATGGTCTAAGTGTAAAGCAGCTACCTCCTCATCAAGCTAAAAAGTAGTTAAATAATCAGTAAGTTATTTATACTTTTTGCAAATATACGCAATAAATAAATAAAAGTATAAAAGAAATATTATAAAATAAAATGCTGCTATATTTTTTCCTATATGTGGTTTCAATCACAAAAAATATTGTTGAAAGTGGAGTATAGAATAAATAAACTAACTGATGGCTAACTAGATTCCTCTCTAGGTCTATTAGAATTAATTATAAAATCCACTGAATCAAGCCAGTGACATTGTTTAAAAAACTATTTCATTGTACTCCTGAGAAAGAAGTGAAATATAAAAATATTGCATAGATGAGTAAAACATGTACAATACATTTACTATAATTTAATATCTCTAGATCTGATATATTTAAGTAATTAGATATCTATCATAGATTAGTTTTGAAAAATGTAGTATTTTTATGTGAATAATTTGATGTATTTTCCTCTGTGATATCACAATATTATTCACTTACAATTAGTCTGATAACTTTTAACCTATCGATCACTAGCGGATCCAGGATTTAATTTTTTTTAGGGGGGAGACTTCAGCCCAAAATCTTTATATATATATATATATATATATATATATGTATGTATATATATATATATATATATATATATATATATATATATATATATATATATATATATATATATATATATATATATAATCTTACAGGGGATAGCTCCCTCTTCCCCTGCAGATCCGCCAGTGCTATCGATAGTAGACAATAGAAATCTCGTAACTTCGTTTTATTAAACTTTACAATGGATAAATAAGAGTTTAAGAACTAATAGTAGTACTATCCATAATCATTTATGTGTAGGTTAAAGATACAAATGTACTTTCAACTCTCCATATGTATATATAGTTCAGAGATTGGAGTTATGTGGTTTACAAAAACAGACAGAGTTAAGAGGTTTTCCTTGCCTACTATCAATATAATAAATAGGGTTTGTGCTATTTCAATAGCCTTAATGATTTGTTACAGGTTAGCTGTAAGGTTTAAGGTATCGCTCTGTTAAAAATACATTGCAAAAACTCTGTAACAGCACAACATTGTCAGAAAATAATTTCTATTCAAAGTAGAGTGGTAATGTTACCAGTTGTGTGTTACCCGAATTTTAAAATTTCTTTTTCAACAATTTTCTGATGGGTTCCTGGACACCTATGCATTTAAGTCCCCAATACTTTTAAAAAAAAAGAATCTCAATTATATAACCATTCTGTGATTATATAGTATGTTTCAGAGCTGAGACATAGTTTTAAATGACGGATTATGAAATTCAAAACTGTGTTGTTAGTTATGATAAGAAAATTTTGAATGAAAAAAAATTGTTTTTTTTTATCTAGAAATAGAGAGAAGATAAAAACTATGTATAGGAACATTTTGATGCAGTACTCTTTATTTATACTGTTTGATGTAAAAATCATCATTTAATCAATATTTCTACTCTTCTGATAAGGCTTATTTCTGATTACCTTTTTAGGTAGTATATAGATGCCAACAGGATATTGTTCATTTTTTGTCCAAAGTTCGATTTGTGCTAATACTTGATTTGTAAATGAATTGCTCATTACAAAAGACGGATGTCCAGTAGCACAACCAAGATTTACTAGCCGACCTTCAGCTAATACTATGATATGTTTTCCATTCTGAAGGGTATACCTGTCAACCTTAAAGTAATATATTTTGTAAATATAGATTTATAAATATATAAATAAATATTGAAAATTTTAAAAAACGATCCAACAACTTATAAGCTATATTAAAGATGGGGTTAACAATGTTGTTTGAATCATGAATATTAGGATATTTGAATGGCAAGCGGATCATTCAATTTTAGCCTATCAATATGTCAACTGTATTGGAGAAATGTTGAATGAAATAAAATTAAAATATTACAAAATATAAAACAACTTAAGAAATAAATACAATTTTTTTAGTGGAGGGAGGAGTAGATGACATTAATGCCTGTAGACGTTGAATGTCTTAGACTGGCATTGAGCCCAAGTTTACATGATAAAATAATTATAAATAATTGTAATAATTATAAAATAATTATTACACGTATAGCCTAAAAGGCAAGGAAGGAGTGAACAAAAAATATTAGCTTTTTTTTATTTTAGAATAGAATAGAAAATTTTATTGCCTCTCATGTATATAAAACTTTTATCATATTTTAGAAATAAGAGAATCATCAATATGCTTTTTAAAATCCTTTTTGTCATTATTTTAACGTCATCTTTAAACTGTTGAAATTTGAAACTCATCTTTACTATATCATTCATCTCTTTCTCTATCGAAACATAGGAAAATAGACTATTGGCAAATTTGTGATGGAGTGGGAGAGCATCTGGTGAAATCTCACCCAGGGGCACCTACAACCCATGAGATGGCTCTGTTTATAGCTACTGATCAATTATATAAAAACACATCAGGATATTCACTTACAGAATTCTTTAAAAAAGGGATTGACAATAGCGCTGCTTGATTTTGATACCTAAATAAAACGTTGATACTACAAATAAAATCTATTCAAGTGATTTTTTTATTCAGGGAAAAGTAAGGATAACTAAAGTATGTTTAAATAGCTACGATTAATTAAAAAGAACAAAAATATACTTAATTATATTATACTTCACCTGTGGTTTTATATTCACTTTTTCAACAGCATGTTTTTCCAACCATTCAACTTGAATTTCAATATCAAAGTGGCCAATATTACATACAATAGCATCATCTCTCATCTGAAGGAAATGCTTTTGAGTGATAATGTCTTTACAACCCGTAGTTGTGACAAATACCTGACCGATTTTGCAAGCTTCTTCCATTGTTGTCACCTACAATGTTAGATCATAAATTCTAATCAGACAACTATGTACCATATAGAAATTTATCTACCACTCATCAAATTTTAAAATCAATCTTATACTTTTTTGCTAATATTAATCAATGCACTTTAAATTGCTGAAATTGTAACAAGGAAAATAGGTAACATAATAATTTATATGCAACTTTAAAAATATTTTTATAATTTCAGTGTTTTAGTAAGTATATGTTGTTTGAACAAATTTAATAATTATTTTGAATACATGAATAACTATAAATGTGGATATTAGTTATCATTAATTTATCTTAGATATCCTTTTCATGTTATTGTTTATTTTGCTGTTTTTGTATTAAAAAAACATTCGTTATGCTTTAATGTTTTGAACTATAGGTAAATATTTTAACAATAAGTACAATAAATAATTAATGATAAATTATAAAAAAAAAGTCCTTAGAGAATATAATTATTTTGAAGGGGTCATCTTCAAGCAGGCTTGAGCAGAGTGCAAGCTAGCCTGTCCTAACTAAAAAAATAATCATAAAAATAAAAAATATTATGAATTACTAAAGTCAAAGATCCATCATTTATGGCAATTTAGATAATTTTTTAAGAACCTCATATCCTTCCATTGCAGCTTGAAGAGCATTTATCGGGTCAATTTCAGTAACCAGAACTCTGCTTCCGAATGACCTCAATGACTGAGCACAGCCTTTTCCCACATCACCATAACCTGCGACAACACTGACCTTGCCTGCTAACATTATGTCTGTGGCACGTTTGATTCCATCTACCAATGATTCTCGACATCCATATAAATTGTCAAATTTGCTCTGAAATATAGTTTTTTTTTAAAATAAATTACATAGAGCTAATTAATACTACTTTTAATTATACTAAAAATTATGAAAAAAAATAAAAAATTACATACCTTAGTTACTGAATCATTAACATTAATAGCAGGAACTTTGAGTTTTCCTTCTTTATGCATCCGATACAAGTTATGGACTCCTGTAGTTGTTTCTTCACTTAATCCTTTGATACCGGATAAAAGATGTGGATATTTTGTATGCACTAAATTGGTCAAATCTCCTCCATCATCAAGGATCATATTTAATGGCTGTAAAAATGATGGAATGTCAAATTTACCTATAATATAAATTGTTAAAATAATAAAATTTTATTAAATGGTATATTTCTGCTAGCAAAATAATTAATAATTTTCACATATTCTTCATAAAATTACCCCTGTTGTATCTAAGATAATTTCATACCATATGAAATGAAAGTTTTTATCTCTCATACATTTGCTTTATATCATACGCATGCTATATTAATTTCATTAATATTTCATTATTATTTAATATTTATGATCTATGCACTATATTATCTTTAGACATCCTATTTCCATACCCATTCAATTAAACATTATTTTAATATACTCATGAAATATTATCTATTGTCAACCTCATTATGTATAATCATAATATACATTTCTGTATTTTAGTTCAAGTATTTCCGTTAACCAATAGAGAGCGTACTAAATTTGTTCTACTGGTTTCCTTTCCATCTAATCTTGTCTTGCAGAGGAGCCCTTTATGAGAACAAAGATTTGTCTTCAATTTATTATCAATGATTTATTCAATTTATCTTGTAATTTAGTTTTCTTCTCTTCTTCTTACTGTAACTTTCTTTTCCATATCCATGCCACTATTTTGTTTTTATTAAAACATGTACTCATTACATCTTATTTTCTAATTTTACATAATTTTAACTTTGCAATTCTCTTCTATGTAGTCAGTATGTTTTAATAAATTTTATTGTACCTTAATTAATCTATTTACTTATTATTTTTCCATAAAACTTCATATCTCTTTTCTCTATTTTACATTTTATTCTATGTCTGTCTCACTTCTTTTTACCATACTAAGACATCGACTTTTAAATACATCATCCCATTTATTTTTTTTCTAACGCTTACATTTTTTATCTCTTAATATTCCATTATATTTCCTTGTTAATTCATTTTCATTTCTTTGCTTATTTCATTATGTTTTCCCCATTATTTTTCATTTGTTCATAAGTTTCTTACTCTGTAACCAGTATTATTTATTTCATAGTTCCTAACTCTATTACCATTATTATTTATTTCTTAAGTTCCTACCCTTTTTTACCATTACGTTATATATCCTAACTTTGTTCTACATATTATTATATTTCTACCGTTTACTAGTTTCTAATATGTAATGATATCCAGCTAAAAATCTTGTAAAATTTCATCCAGTTTGCTAATTTTATGACTAACGTTAATTTCTTGTATATATATATATATATATATATATATGTATATATATATATATATATATATATATATATATATATATATATATATATATATATATATATGTTAATATCAATCACAGAGATTAATATTATTACTGCAATTAATTTTAATAATTTTGAGACCACCACAGATTGAAATCCTTCCTGATCACTGTATGATATAGCTCTAGCTCCTACTGGTAAATTATTTGAACAAATTTGGATATGAATAAAAAAAATATCAAAAAGAATAGTAGTTCAAACAATAACTAGAGAACTTTTCTATATTAAGACTCCAATATTTTGTGAATATGGTATTTTGAAGTGGAGAAAAAAATATTTCCGCTAGTAAAACCGAAAGAGCTTATTATTCTTCACCTCAATTTGGTGATAGTAAAAAATCACATTCATTATGATTTTAGAGGCAAAAGTTTCACATCATTCACTACTTTTTCAGTTTCACTGAAGGCACTACTTGAAAAAAGAGATTCCGAGCCGTTGAGGAATTACAGGAAACGTTAAGGCTGATATCTTGCCAAGTGAGGTCCAGATTTGCCTCAGTCAATCCATCCAAAACCTTACAATTCAATACCACCAAGTATATTATGGAAAGGATGGAAGTAAAGGAACAAATAAGAAAAGCACCCTTAGACAAGGTGGAAGAGAAATGTTACGACTATTTGATAGATAACCTGATCCCAGCTGAACTACCGAGAAGAGATGCAGTAGACTGCTTCCACCTGGCAACTGGCCACGACTATCTGCAGATTCATCTCCATAGAACAGGCATGGCTGAGAATCCTTGGTGTAAATTATGTCAAGAAAGAATGGATGCAGACCACCTAGACACATATCCTGCCTTGATGGACATAAGAAAAAGACATTTTTAAATCAATACATGAGAAAATCTAATTTATACTGGGCAGCAAGATGTCGAATGGCTGAAGGACCAATGACTCAGGCATATGAAAAAGAAAACAAAAAAAAAATTATATCAATGTATTTTAATAGTTTATACAAAAATATATCATTATTATTTTATTAAATTCATTGTTTCTTTTTTTCTAATCAGTTTTTAAAGCCAATTGAAATATAAACATATGAAATCAGTGAAATCTTTTTTCTTTTTTTTTTTAAATTTAGAAATAAAATAAACTGTTACGTGGACAATAATAATAGTGAGATATTAACACATTCACACCATATATACAGGATACATAATATTAATAAAAGTAAAATAATAACTAAATAATAATTAAACAACTATGTACAATAACAAATAAAATAACCTAAAGATAAGTATATTAAAAACATAAAACTTCAGTCATACCTATACACAATATATACAATCAGGTAAGGAACCCCAAGTCAGGCTTGTCTTTCCAACTATAGAGGAAAAAGCAGAGATCCCTGCGCTACCCTCTCAACCGCATCACTGGTGCTAAAGCCAGTGGAGATTGAGAGAGAGCGCTGTAGCCACATACACTCATGTCTTGAGTGGAGAATCTGGCCATTGTCAGAACTTCAAGATATATACTACAAAAGATCTCTGGGCCACTGCCACTTCAACCTTCGAGGTGGATTGTAAGGATGAGTGAAACTAGATAGGGATTGGGCAAGCAAATTTGTCAGAGATAAGGTCTAGGACAAATGGAATATTAAGGCCATGATGTATGGTTTTATTGGTTACATAGAACAGAGCATCAACTATTGTTCAGAGGACTTTGGACTGAAAGGATTGGATGAGTTTGATGCTAGAAAATATAGCTGTCTCCCAAAGTTCAAATCCGTAGGTCCAAATAGGCTTCAGGATTGTCTTGTATATCAGTAATTTGTTGTCAATTGAAAGTTGCGATTTTCTATTCAGTAGTCTGTATAATTGGCCGTATCGTCTGTTAAGTTCTTGTCTCATAAGTCTAGTATGGGGATTCCACGTTAGTCTCTGGTCTAAGAGAAAGCCAAGATACCGGACTGTGTCTGAAAAAGGAAGCTGGATGGAATTAAAGTGGACTGGTGGGCAGGATCTGCACTGGAGCGTGAAGGTAATCTGTTTGCATTTGGATTCGTTTACTTTGATCCGCCATTTATTGACCAGTGCTCAATCAGGAAGAGGTGTCTTTGCAGATTTAAAGATGCTATTTCAAGATCTGAATTCGATGATAGGAAGGCGGTGTCATCAGCAAATGTTGCCAGAAAGGTATCGGAATGGGCAGGAATATCAGCGGTAAAAAGGATATAAATGACTGGGCCCAAGACGCTACCTTGATGAACACCGGCTTCAACTGGGTAGGGATTGGAAAATCCTGAACCACAACGAACTCGAAAGGTGTGATCAGAGAGGTAGCAGCGGAGGATTAGGTACAAGGTCTGGGGTAGATGGGTTTTCAGTTTGGAAAGAAGCCCGGCATGCTATACTCGGTCAAAAGTTTGAGCTATGTCCAGAAATGCACCCGAGCAATATTGCTTGCTTTCCAGCGCTGCGGAAATATGATCGACCGCTCGGAGTCCTCGTTGGACTGTAGAGTGTGAACAAAATCTGAACTGGTGGGAAGGAAGATTTTGGAATTCTATAAAGGGTAGGATTCGTTTCAGGAGGATCTTTTTAAAGATTTTTGAGAGAATTGGAAGTAGGCTAATTGGTCTGTAGGACGTCAAGATATTGGGAGGTTTGCCTGGTTTTGGAAATAGGATAATAGTGGAATGTTTCCACAAAAGAGGAAAGTGGATGGTTCTTAGGATGGTATTGTATAAGTATGTGAGAAATATAACAGCTTTAGGAGGAAGTTGTCGGAAGATTTGAGAGGTAAGGAGATCGTATCCAGGTGATTTTGGAATCCAGGAGAGACAGTAAAGGAAGTTTTTGAAGGTGATGTTTGACCTCAGAGAGATTAAGTACTTTAGGGGGCAAAGAAAGTGGAATGGGTGAAGGAATCCTTCTACTACTTTTATTGGTTATATAAATTAGGCCAAAATTCACCAACATTTTATTTATCAGCTATTTTAAAAATAAAATGTTGGTGAATAATGGCCTAATTTATATAACAAATAAAACCTCAAGACACCAATTCTAGGAATAATGAACAGAAGAAATCTTCTACTACAGTTGTGTTATGGGTATGGTTGGATACTGGATGAGAGGTAAATGTTCTGGAGAGGAGTCTGGCGAATTCCTCAGCTTTGTCTTCATCAGATGCTGTCCAGGAGCCATTGCCTCAATGGAGGGAATGGGAAATATGATGGAATTTTAGAATTTTGTTTGTTATCTTCCATAGGGAATTGTGTTGAACAGCGAGGGAAATAAGGTAGAGCACACTATATCCATTTTTTTATTAAATAATTCAGTAACTAAGAAACAAATTTTAATTTCTCAAAATTATGGAACATTAGCTTCCCTAAACAAATATAAAAATGGTAAATAAATTGAAAATATTAATTTAATAAATAAAAATACCATTTTATTTGAGAAACCTTCAAGGGTTTGTTCTATACACCATATATATTCTTCATCTGTTTCTCCTTTCCACGCAAATACAGGTATTCCTCTCTTTGCTATAGCTGCAGCAGCATGATCTTGGGTACTAAAAATATTACAGCTCGACCATCTCACCTGTGATGATACCGTAAATAGTTTATTATAATAAAACTAAATAAATATTCATTTCTAATTCTTCTAAATATCTACTTCTAAAAAGAAATAACTATTCATCATAAAAATAAATATCTAATTCTTCAAGTATTATTCAACAATGTTTATTAGAGGATAACCATAAAATAATTATAAATAAGACAAAATTTATAAAATAAAATAAGTTAAAAATTAATTTTGTTTGAATTGCTTGTTACTGTCGCAGTTTAATAGTGCAACATCTCCAAAAAGGTTAATCTTGAAATTTACATGTATTATTTGGCTTGATCTATGTAGTTCAATGCTGTGATATCTCAATAATTTTTTTGTCTATTTTTTTGGATATTTTGGAAATATTGTTGATTGATTGATTTGTTAATAGTTGAACTGCATTGCATTTATGCTAATTTCACTGTATTTTTTATTATAAAAAAAAGGAAGGTAGAAAGTGAATAGGACAACGTAAGACTAATAGAAAATTATGCACAACTAGTTAAATAACTTAAATGTTCATAGCTCGAATGTAACTTTTGGAGTATGGGCCCTTATTGTAGCAACATGTTTAATTTTAAAAAACTTTAGAATCTTATATCTCCTCCCATTGATACTTTAAAACAAAACTTTAAAATTTCAGAAAGACAAAATTTATTGATATCAATAATTTATTTGAAAGGCCTCACCTCAGCTCCTAACTCAGCAAGTGTTTCAATTAGAACACCAGTTTGTATTGTCATATGAAGGCATCCAGCTAACCTTACACCTTTTAAAGGTTTACTTGCACTATATTTGTTTCTTAAAGCCATCAGACCTGGCATTTCTTGTTCAGCCAACATCAACTCTTTTCTTCCAAAATCTGCTAAATTTATGTCTGCTGTGAAGTAAAATATCAGTTAAAACTTGATTCATGAAAATCTTTTCAAATTGATCTATTGTCAGTCGATATACTAAAAGGCATTTTATACTTGAAAAATATTATATTTTAGAAATAACTTTGTTTAAGCCATAGGTAATGATATATACTCACACATACTTAAAAATATGAATATAAACAGTTTACATAATACATAATAAATATCATATTGAACATATAATTTGCACCAAAAAAACAAAAAGTTGCGCTAAATTTATCTTTCGTCATTAATATTTTGGTTAGTGTTAATAAGATCAACACAAACCTTCAAGTGTAATACATCTGAATATGACAGTATAATATGTATGTATAGTTGTATTTGTGTGTTTTTTTAATGAGGGTAGGTTGAAATCTTCAAAATACACAATTTTTTAGTAGTAAATACCCGTGTGTGGCTATTTGTTTGTGTGCATTTGTCTTAATATCAGATGCATCTTTTATATCATTGCTATCTCAGTGCAACATTTGGATACCTAGTTTTTTTTTTATTTAATATTTTTGTCTTTAAATTAAGACTAAAACTATTGGAAAAAAGTATGAAAAAAAAAATGTCTTAACTATTTGCTCGGTATATTGCTTATCAGACATTTAAGTAAAAAAAAAAAAAAAATGAAGTTCGATTTTTCAAAAACTTGATATATAATACATGTCTCAATGTTGCATCAGGTAGTGATATCATTATGGAAATAAATAAAATATCACTGTCATTACATTATTTGATAAATAATTCTATTATTAATGATTGCTAGTATGATATGGTCTTCATAATATTTTAAACTTTTGAAAAACTAGGTTTAGAGGCAACGAAACATACATGCAATATTACATTATACTGAAGTAAAATAAATAACATAAGATTTTAAATGAAAATTTTCCAAATAATTAATATTAAATAATCTGAATAAATATAATCAGAAAATAAATCATAAATGGCAGCTGAAATTTTTAAAATATAAAATAAATTATATTTAACATTGGAAATTTTTTCAATAAAATATTGTGTTTTTTCTTAATAAAATGAATAAATTGAAATCCAGTAGACTGTAATGAACTTACCAACTTTGTAATCAGGAGACTTAGGCATGATGAAATTCAAATGTAGAAAGAAATTAAAAAGGAAAGTAATACCACTTGTTGAAATGGCTAAATGTTAAATGTGTAAATTCTTATCAACTCTGATACTGAAAAAAATACATAAATGAACACAAATAAAAGGTTCACAATGAACTGAGATAAAAAATATTAATGTGATTATGAACTATCTGCTGTGATATAAGAGTTTTTTATTTTTACAATTCATCTATATATTTATGCCAGTCAAACAGAACACAATCAGGGATTGTGTGAGTTGATAACATAATTATAAGTATGGGGAATGCTGAAACAATTGTGCTTTGTTCCATCGTTATGTTATTATTATTATTACAGATGAACAAAGACTGTAATTTATTTCATTAAAAAAACTAAAGAATTTATTACAACTTTAAAATACGGTCATTAAGATGTTAATTTTAGGGATCGACGTTACCGATATTAATATAGGCATATCGACCATTCTGAATACCGGTATTCTTAATACCATTATATCAGCCTTCTTACCTCATTTTATTGGGTATATTATTTTTTTCCTCCCCTTCCTTTGAATATTTTTTATCCTCCCTTGGAACACAGCAGATCCAGCCGAAGGGCGCGCCCTCTCCCCCCTGGAGGC